AATCACACAATCTTGCAATCTTGCAGGCATGTGTCTTGTTCTCTGAAGTCTCCTTGTACTTGGTTGATCTCTAACTTCCTCTTGTCGAACTTCTCTTTTCACTTGAGTTTTTAGTTCTTCAAGTAAGATTCTCACTTAATCTTTCTTGACATTTTCAATCCAATCTCATTCTTTAAGCTCATTTATGATCACTTCTCTTTAAGCTCATTTATGACTTTACAGGCGCATTCATCAAGAGACAAGAAAGGAAAAGGAAAGTGGTTCGACAATAAATGTAAAGGAGGCTACAATAATTCGACTGGAAGAGGAGACCAGTAGGAGGGAATTGTGTCGAATCAGAGAAGACCCACATACCAAGGCAACCAAAGAGGTGTTGTTGGAGGTAGAGGAAGAGGCGGTGGTCGAAAGCTTGACGAAAGTCACATTCAGTGTTACAATTGTTAGAAATATGGTCATTATTCGAGTGATTGTCCAAAAAAGCGAAAGAATCAAGAAAGTGATGCAAAGTTCGTAAAGTATGAAGAATAGATGATGTTGATGGTCACAATAAGAGATGAAGAGAAATGTAAGGACCAATGATACTTGGATTCATGATGCTCATCACACATGTCTGGAAGGAAAGATTAGTTTGTCAACATAAAACCTTAAATGAAGAACATGGTGAAATTCGTAAATGACAATACTCTAGCAGCTGAAGGTATTGAAGATGTTATGATTATGAGTAAAGATGGAAAGAGGTCAATAATTTCCAATGTGTTGTACATACCAGGCATAAAGAGCAATTTTCTCAGCATAGGGCAGTTGGTCATGAAGAATTATAAAGTGTCGATCGAAGACAAGATGATGAGAGTTATTGACGCAAGAGGAAGGTTAATCTTGAAGGCTCATATGTCTCAGAATAAGACTTTCAAAATTGAACTAAATATGATGGAGCACAAATGCATAGCAACTGCAGCTAGCAGAGATGAATATATATATATATATATATATATATATATATATATATATATATATATATATATATATATATATATATATATATATATATATATATATATATATATATATATATATATATATATATATATATATATATATATATATATATATATATATATATATATATATATATATATATATATATATATATATATATATATATATATATATATATATATATATATATATATATATATATATATATATATATATATATATATATATATATATTCATCTCTGCTAGCTGCAGTTGCTATGCATTTGTGCTCCATCATATTTAGTTCAATTTTGAAAGTCTTATTCTGAGACATATGAGCCTTCAAGATTAACCTTCCTCTTGCGTCAATAACTCTCATCATCTTGTCTTCGATCGACACTTTATAATTCTTCATGACCAACTGCCCTATGCTGAGAAAATTGCTCTTTATGCCTGGTATGTACAACACATTGGAAATTATTGACCTCTTTCCATCTTTACTCATAATCATAACATCTTCAATACCTTCAGCTGCTAGAGTATTGTCATTTACGAATTTCACCATGTTCTTCATTTAAGGTTTTATGTTGACAAACTAATCTTTCCTTCCAGACATGTGTGATGAGCATCATGAATCCAAGTATCATTGGTCCTTACATTTCTCTTCATCTCTTATTGTGACCATCAACATCATCTATTCTTCATACTTTACGAACTTTGCATCACTTTCTTGATTCTTTCGCTTTTTTGGACAATCACTCGAATAATGACCATATTTCTAACAATTGTAACACTGAATGTGACTTTCGTCAAGCTTTCGACCACCGCCTCTTCCTCTACCTCCAACAACACCTCTTTGGTTGCCTTGGTATGTGGGTCTTCTCTGATTCGACACAATTCCCTCCTACTGGTCTCCTCTTCCAGTCGAATTATTGTAGCCTCCTTTACATTTATTGTCGAACCACTTTCCTTTTCCTTTCTTGTCTCTTGATGAATGCGCCTGTAAAGTCACATCACTCTCCAACTTGCCTGGAGCTCTTTCAGCGATTCTTTGTTCATGAGATTCAAGCGTCCCTTGAAGCTTTTGCTTCGACAAAGTTAACATGTTCTTCGACTCTTCTATGTCAACTACCACATGGTCGAACTTCGGAGCCAAAGATCTAAAGATCTTTGAAACAACAGCTCTTGTTGTTAACGTCTCTCCATAAACCTTGATTTGATTCACTAATTTCATAACCATAGTGAAGAAATCAGATATGCTCTCACAATCTTCCATTTGAAGCAATTCATACGTTCTTTTGTGAGTTTGTAACCTCGCTTATTTCACCTTCTCATCGCCTCCAAATGATTTACTCAGAACTTCCTAAGCTTCTTTTGCAAATTCTATATCACTAACCTTTTTGAATTTGTCTAGACTCAGACATTGATGAATTATAAAGAGAACTTTATAATTCTTCTTTTTTGATTCTTTGTATTTTGCCTCTTCTTCTTCTAAAGTGTCTTCTTCAAGCGGTTCTAATCTATATTTCACAAGATCCCAAAGATCTTGATAATAAAACACAACCTTCATCTGCTTGCACCAATTCTCATAGTTATCAGCTTTAAGAATTGGAAGACTTGCTGGAAAATGCCCGTTTGGATGATCCATTGCCATCGTTCTTGCTTGCCTTGAATCGCTCAACCGGAGCTCCTGATACTAGATAATAAAAATCTACTAAATCTATGATGAATTTCGATCAATCTTGATGAACAAGATTGTTATCACCACACAATGACAATGAAAAGAAAATTAAAGAAGAAAGGAGATTTAGGATTTCTGCAGCGTAACTCTCTGCCCATAAACTGTGGAAATCTTTATTCACTTTGCAACTGCAAAATTCTATGAATACTCCTTCTGGGTTGATTACAAAAATAGGGGTTACTCCCTCTATTTATAGTTTTAGGTTAGCTTGCTCTCTAAGCCAAAGCCCAAAACACAAAAGCTCAAAATACCTATTTTGAATCTAAATCGAATATGGGTGTAGTAATCTGCTTACAACACTTCGACAACTACCTACAACTCGACAGACTAAACTTTTCGACACACCTTGTGTCGAGCAACAACCTGCTTCGACACAAGAATTACACTTTCAACATATCTTGAGGTCATATGAAACTTTACGTTCATGTTCTGAACACTTTTACTAAAAAGGATACTCGACAAAATTTGTTATTATTTAAGAGATAGGCTGCTAGGTTCAAAATCTAGAATCGCAACGTTAAAATCATAATCATGTAAAACTCTTTCAAAATCATAATTTATACCATAGATCTCACTGCCTTTTAATATATGAGTCGACTTTTTATTAGCTTAATCATCTTGTTTAAATGAATATTTTTTTCTTTTTCATTGATATTCTTGCAGCCTATGTATTATTTTTATTGTTAATATATCACATAAAATAATATCAATTATTGGTATACTTAGAAGAGATAGAGCTTGAAGAAATTGTTGATAGAAGTTAATGAATATAGCAAAATGCCAAAAACCTACCTCAGCAAAAGAAATAAAATAACAATAAGCAAGATTCTTGCATTTAGATTTTATGCTCAATTTAGTCACATAAAAAGATTGGGTGTCTATTTCACTTTGCAAGTGTTGCAAAGTCATAGAAGAGTGATTACGAATTCTTATTCAAATATAAATATTAATATATCTATAAGGAATCAGTTCATTATTAGAAAATTCGACATTGAAATCTTAAGAACAAAAGTTTAAATAAGTTTAAAAACAGGTTAACATAATTGATAATTTTTTTTTTAAATCTCTATTAATTTTAGTATTCAATTTATATTCCTCAACTCATAAGAACTATTATATTAAGCCAACTTAATTAATAGTTACACAGAAAACACGAAAAACAACTATTCTATTAAACAAATTTAATTAATAACTATGCAGAATACGCGAGTTTAAATATGTAACATCATCTTATTCATTTTTAAATGGTAATATTTCACTCATAAATTACTCAACAACTTAGATATAATGATTTTGTATGTAGAATGAACGTAACAACAGCCTAAAAACACTAAATTTAACATCAACTTATTGCAAAGGGACACCTGAAACAGAAGATCAAAAATATTCTGTGAATGATAAACACACGTATGATTGTAGATAATTTAGCACAGAAAATATCAGAACCTGGGACCAATTCAATAGTCGTAGTGTTTCTGCTTGAAATAGAAATAGATTCAAAACAAGACAAGATTATACTAGTATAATTATTTAGCTACTAAAATGATTGTAAATGTAATGGAAGGGTCAATTACTTGATTTCTTTTCAAAAAGAAATATAATTGTTTTTGTCCCTTTTCTCATCTTTCAAACTTCCACTTAATTGTTTTCCAACTGCACCTCACTGATTAGTTTTTGATCATCATCCCCAAGTCAAGACAAAATTAGAAATGTCATCATGAAAGAAAATAACCTATATGTCATTTGCTGGTTTCCCTAATGGCATCATCATACAAATATGCCACCCAGTGTGAATATTTAATGTTTAATCTCACATCACACTCATAAATTTAATTAACTAGAAAATAAAAGATTTGGGAATCTTCTAAATTTGTCACGCAACAATTGATTTAATAGTAATTAACACTGAATTTTGATAGAAAAAATTACAGTTGAATTCTCCACCATAACAATCGGCAGGAGAGACTCATGAATAAATAGATCAATATCTCATCATTATCATAAACTAACAATTTCAATCTTCAATCTAAAAATTCATGATAAATATGTAATAACTTGTAAAACGATAATCATGATTAATTCTCCAACATTAAAGGTAGATTATACTAATACCATTCAAAATGTATAAATTAGTAGAAGAAAAAATTTAATAATGTATCTGTATGGGGTCGGACACTTCTACTATTACTTGTGATTATGTTTAATTTATTATTTTTTTAATTATTATTGATATTACCGTGTCAATATCGCGATCGTTTTTGGAGTGTCTGGATTTCATAAGTACTATACTATCTCAGCAGTGACACTAACTCCTGTTCTATTGGTGTTACCGTCAATAGCGCCGGCTTCACCGGTTATCACCGCGGCTGCTGTTGATACAATAGTTGCGGTGGTAACAGTGGATCTCTTACGTTTCTTCTTCTCGTAAGGGATTCCTCTAGCTTTAGCTTGACCTTCTCTAACCTCTCTGAGATAAATCCTAACCGCTTTAGTTCCAAACGGATTACTCTCCTGTTTACCGCCGTTTTCCTCGAAAGCGGCTCTGAGACGTCCGATGAGAGCGTCGAGGCTTCCCCAGGCCTGCTTGAGCGGACAAGCGCACGGCGAAGGAGGGTTAGGGTGTCCGAAATAAGGACAACCGGTCACGTGCACCTTCGTCTTTCCGAATTGATCGAGGTATTTCAAAAACTCAATCACGTGCGCTCCGCTGCAACGTGCTAGTGTTAACGGTGGTTTGTGGTTTGGAAGATACTGCTGGAACGTGTTCCAGTCTCGTCGCTTTTGTGACTCGTAACGGCTTGGTGTTGGCGTTGGCGTTGGTGTTGGTGGTGGTGATGAGTTCGGTTGAGGTAGTGCTGACGGCGGCGGTGGTGGAGGTTCTCCACCCGATGCAGCTTCCATTATGACGGTGACTTTTGGTTGAGAGAAGGATTGGTATTATGGAGAGGAAGGAGAGAAGAAAGAGATGGGGGTGATGGGACGTAAAATAGTTTGAATGAATGAATAATGGATTTTGAATTGAATTAATGGGGGAGTGGTGGTGGGGACGAATTATAGAGTGTGGAGAGATTGTTTACAATTTCGCAAACAGTGGGGTCATCTTGACGTGACGGGATTGGAAATTGGAATTACCATTTATATTCACTACTACTACTACTCTACTATAGTATGGGCTATGGCCCTCTCTCTACAATACTATACGATTTTTTATTTCTTACATGACAGGAAAACAAATACACTAGTAAACAAAAAGGCAAAATTGATGAACTACTTAAATGTCATTTTGATTCCTCTAAATATAGTAATTTTCTTTTTTTAATTATTTAAACATTTTTTTTAAGAATAATTATTTTAAAATTTTCTTTTCATACTTTTAGTCTCTCCTACTATATAACTATGGTCAATAACATTCTAGAACCCATAAAATTTCATAATTAATTTATAATTAAAGTCATAATTAACCTTTAACAAATTTAAGATCCAAAAAATTGATATTATTCATATAAGTAATTAAAATCCTAACTAATTTATAAGTTTATTTATCTCATGTTTATATTTGATTATTGTTGAATTTTTTTCACTATTGCAATTATAAAACTAGTGCAAACAAGAGTTTCTTTATTTCTATAACTTTGTTTGGTTGGTTTATTACTCCCTCAAGTTTTATATAAGTAATTTTATAAAAAAGTTCACTTTTTTAAATATATATTTAAATCTTACATTATTTCTAATTTTATTCTTATTTTTTATCTTGAAAGTCGTTTAAAATCTAAAAAAAAAAAAAGAATTATATTTAAAATAATGACATTAAATATAATGATTAAGATGATTTTTGTTTATATTTAAAATTATATAACTTTTTTTGTTGTTTATATTCGAAATAAGAGTACCTTGTTAAATCAATACGTGAAAAGGCTATAAAATTATAACAACTGTTTTTATTATTTATGCAACTTTTTACTAGGTTTGGTTTTCTAACTAACCAATCAACCATGCTTTGAATAAAAAGGACACAGTTAATAACTTCTATTGACCCTTGAAAAATCAGCTTTTTTAGACGAGATATTTCACTATGAGATACCTTCGAATTGTGACGCATGTCCTGCAAGCCAATGCAATATAGTTCTTCTCATTTAGATGTATAAGACTGAAAATCAAAATGGAGCATATGATAAAATTGAAATGATCTACTAGAAGCGCAATGGGTACTCCAACCTGAAAAGGCAGGAGGGGTTCATTTTTGTTATCTTTCTTATTTTTAATTTGTATTATATTGTAATGGTAATTTGTTTTAGGGTTAGAGACTTAGAGTAATCGACTTAAGAATTTTAGAGAGATGTAAATGAAATTAATTTGTCATTTTGTCAACAAAGATATCAGGAACTATTAACATGAACTGACTTCATTCTTGAATTCAAGTATGATGTTGATATTAGCTATGTGGTATGACATGTCAACATCTTGTCATACTGACATTGTCACGTATTAGTGTCACGTCAGTTCTGTTAACGGATGTTAGTAAGAGAGACTAAAAATATGGATGTTAATTTTTAAAGGAGTGAAGGAAATGTTAAAAGAGACTAAAAATGAAATGTGTTATATTTAGAGAGACCAAAAAGATATTTAACTCTACTTTTTAAGAAGCTATTTGAGGAGTTGGTTATAGATTTTTTTATTTATTTTAGGAATGAAATTTAAATTAACACAAAAATAATTTTATTTAATTTTTGCAAACGTTCCACCGTATAAGCTACGTTAATATCAACAATTTTCGAATAGCAGTTTTTTTTTGTCTACCGATCAAGCCACCCGATGTAGATGCATCTAAGTTTCATAGGTCGTTGTTACGAGATATTTTCACTGAAGGCTAAAGAGTCACTACTGTAATGGAGATAGTGAACCTGATTGAAAAGAGATTTATGAAAGTCTCTTTTGAGAGAGAAAATCTATTGCTACCAAATGTCACGATAGATGAGAAACTTTTTTAGGAATTGTGCTATGATAAAAGTTGTATTATGGTTTATATTTGATTTCCTAGGCTTCACTAATTGTATTATGATCAAAGTTCCCTTCTTGGTTTGACATGTTGCGAGTTCTCCAATTAAGGTAGATAGAGACACCCTGAATGTAGATAGGGGAAGGTTTGAGAGAATTTGCATAGAGATTTATCTGACCTTACCGGTTGTCGAAAAGGTTAATGTTAATGACCATTAGTACAAAGTGCGGTATGAAGGTTTTCACATTATTTGCTCCAGTTCTAACTATTATGGACATCATGCCCATGATTGCAAGAAAACACCAGATAATCTGACGCAGCCGATCGTTCTTCTGGTGGTGCAACCAAGAGGTCCGCTGGACAATGATATTTTCCATAAGCAACAATTAACAAATTTGCATCGGGAAGTGAGCAAAGATAGCACCGAAATTGTAGAACAAGAATTTGGAGAAATAAATGTAGTTCATGGTGATTGGCTGGTGGTATAGAGGAAAAAATACAACAAAAAAAAGTCAATTATGATAAATGAAAATCTCTACCCAATAATGCGCCTAGAGATCTGTGGAGTTTTAAAATCAAGGGGATTGGTGTTTCTTTAAAAGGAATAAGCGATGAAAGCAAAAATGTTGGACCTAATCAACTTAATGAAGTTTTCAAAAAACGACGATTTGATAAGAGTGGATCCACCCTAGACCCGCTTCAGCCAGCACACAGAGGGGACCCTTTCACCAATGCCAAGTCCACCATTTTGGAACCACATCTTACTATTAGTGGACCTTCGCACAAAATTGAGCCAACTTTTAATTCTTGCCCAACATAAAAGGGTGTGCTTAAGACTACTAAATACACATTTATCGTTCCCATAGTAAATTTAGATTTGATGACCATTACATGATACAAAATTATGCATTTTGAACCAACAACAAGATGGAAATAACCAATGCGCTATGGGTGCTACTCAAGAAAAGGAAGTTGTTTGTGAAAATCTCATTGAATGGGAGCTGACTATGTAAATTGTCTCATGTCCGGAACTTGCTTTGTTACCTCCATCAACTTGTCTAATTATGTTAGGTTTCAAAGAAATCACGGCGCTCTCTTGGAATATTCAATGATCCTCTAATAATAAGGTTTAATTCTTGCAAATTGTTTTGCGGGAGTTATAAAAACTCCCGCTTATACATTCTCACAATCTGATTGCAGGGGTTTTAGCTAATCGTTGATATCGTATTTAAACAGCGGGGATTTTATTGCAGAGGTTCAAAACCCCCAAAAAAATATTGAAATTGAATAAAAAAATAATCTTCACAATACTCAATAGTTTATAAATATATACTCAAAATAACATAAAATATACTACAAATATAAAAATGTTATCTCAAAATAACATAAAATATACTATAAATATAAAAATATTGTAATACGATTACCAAAAATAAATGGGGAGCTAAAACATGCTCATAAAATTCAATCTTCTTGCCGTGTGATCCTTTGTCCAAGCCAATATGTGTAAGAAAGAAAAAAAAATTCAATAATAAATTGTTAAGTACACAACATTCAATACAGTCTACACAACTTACATTAGATGCACATAAATAAGAGCAAATCCAATTTCATTTATAATTTATTTTTAAAAAAACTATTAACATGCATATCTGCATGTAAATGCATTGAAGCCGACCACGTGAACTATGTTGTCTTCTGCAACGAAGAACGAAAAACAGGACCATCATGTATTTAAAAGTTTGGTACCTGCCAACGTTCAAAAGTGAAAACAGAGCCTATAAAATTCCACACAAAAATTAGCTACTTGGTACTACTGATAGATTCATGCTCTTTTATCCATTGTACTTTAAAATTCAAAGGTTAAAATTTGACGATTTACAAAGTCAATACAAATATAACGTTAATCATAATGAAATTCCACAATCAAGCTTGGAAATTCGGGATTTGACTTCTCTAGAGAGGATATTTCATTTCTTTTGAGTATAAAATAAGTGACAACCTTAACTAATGATAGGAAACACAACTATTGATAACATATCCCAACTGTTTTACAAGTCCATTCAGCCATTAACCAATGAATACAAATAAATATAGGACTAACCATATGTCCATTTCTGTACATATTATGTTTGTACTGTTTTTATAAACATGTTTCAATATGCATTCACTAGTAAAAATTAGAATCATTTTAACATTTAAATTTAACTAAAAAATTTATTACACGCAAGATATCATAGTTGTTGTTGAATAGTGCAAACAGATGATAATACCTCTCCAACTGCAGTGGAGGGTGTAGAGTCAACTTCTTAATCCAAGTGGTATTTTGAATTCGAAAGTGTTGTGTAACCCTAAAATTATTTTTAGGTTTCAAATGAGAATTGGGGAAATCAAATTAGAGATAAAAAATGAAAACTTACTAGAAATGGAGAAGATCGACGAAAAACATTAACACGGTTCAGCTCCAAAAAAAAAAGAGATATCCTTCTATACCTCTTAACTCACTCACTACGAGAACAAAAAATCATTTAAATATGAGAGGTTCAGTGCACTGCGAACGACAAGATACAAAGGGGAACGAGGGTTTTCCATGTTGAGAGTAAAAGAGATACCGGGTGAAAGAAAAATGGGAATTTATTTCAATTTTATATTTTTTTTCTAAATTAAAAAATTAAATAACTTCCCATTTTATATTTTACTAATAAAATTTGAGTGGTTTCTACTGATCCCTCTAAATTAGTATTGTATTTGTGCCTCTATGTCACTTTTTAAATAAACAGCGGCATTTTTAGTAAACCTCCCTAAAATAGTTTCCGTAGTCACGCTTATCTTTTTTTAATGAAGAATAAAAAATGTGGATGAAAATTTTTAAAAAGATTATTTTTTAAAGGAAATTGTTAAAGAAACTAAAATCGAAATGTGTTATATTTAGAGGGATCAAAAATATATTTAATTCTACTTTTTAAGGAGCTATTTAAGGAGTTGGTTATAGATTATTAGTTTTTTATTTTAGGAATGCTATTATATAGAGGATACCTAGTATTGGTAGATACTCCAACATATTAAGTCTACTCCAACATATTAGTAGATACCTAGTATGAAGAAAGATATCATGGTTAGCGCTACTACACAGAGGATGAAGATCTTAACATATCAACTTTCAATATCTCTCTTGGAATTGCTTCTCAACTATGTTCATGTGTGCAAGTTTTCTCCAAAGTCTCTTTTTCTACCTCTATATAAGGAGTTAAAGATTTGAAGAAAAACAACTAACCATCTAACAAGAGAGAAATGTTGAACATATTCTTTCTAAAGTCATTTTCTACACAAGATCTTAAGATTTCTTATCCTTGTATATCTAAGAAATCTTAAGTGTTCACAAAATCTTTATGTATATACTATATCTCTTATATACTTTTGATATTACATCAAGTATAGTGGTTATCTATTTTTCCTAAACTATTTGTTTAAGAGTATATGAAGTCTCTTACTAGGTTGTTTGAGCAGTGAAAATCTCTTGCATGTGTGCTTGAGCAGAAGTCTCTTTCTAGTGTGATTGAGTCGTGGAAGTCTCTTGTTAGTTTGTTTGAGCAAGTGTAATCTGATTGATTATAGTGAAACATCTCTTGTTGGACAAAGGGACTGGACTACTCTCAGTTCTTGGTGTTGCACCCTAAATTTCGCCTCTAATTTATCTAGTCGCATTATCTTATCATATTTTGTTATTTGATCACAATCATTAATAAATATCTTCATTCATCATATTTTGCATCATTAGTCGTATTTAAGTCGACCAAAAATCAGTTTAAATCGAAGTTTGCATTATTTTGTAGTTGAAAAATACCTGATATTTCACTTCATGCATTTTTATCTCTTTCCTCGTTTCTTGCATTGCTCCAAGTTGTTTATATGTTGATAATACTAATATTTCGGTTTTACAGACAGACCGTTAAAAGCGATTTGATACTGTACAAAAAATTAGCGAGAAAATATTTCAAGCTTTCACCTTTTACTGACTATTTTATGAATCTGCGTTTCACGTAGATCATGACGATATGCTCGCTTCATTTTTTTCGGTACAATTTGAAGTCTCATTTTTAACCGTAAGTGTTTGTTCAACTTGATATTTTTATTCTCATTTTATTTCGATTTTGATCATTTGAGTAATTTTTTATTAATCTTTGAAACAGACAGTTTATTTTAATGTGTTCATTTCATTTTTTTTAGATAGATTAATGTCTATTTTTTTATCGTTTTTAGTCATTTTGAGTTTCTATTTTTTTATTCAGAAAATTAAAACAAAAATATTTTTGTATATGTTATTTTTTTATCATTCAGATTTTATGTCATTTTTATTATTAGAAGGCTTTTTGGTTACTTATAAATTTAGTTTAACCAAAATTTTGTGTTATAAATTGAGAGATAGTTGTATTGAATTCGGAGATTGGAAACAAAATTGAAAAAACACAGAGAACAAAACTGAATCTCTTCTCTCATAACCTTCTGATTTCTTCATCATTTTTGACCTCCACACTAAACTCTCTACCCCTCTTCTTCATCTTCAATCCAATCTCAGTTTCACAATTCTTCTTCACCCACATAACCTCCATCCACAAACTTCATTCTCCCCCTCTTTATCTCTTCTTCAATTTCCGGTGAACCTTCAACCGGACCTCCCCAACTGTAAAACATTAGCTTCCATCTCCGACGCTGCTGTACAATAAACCATTTCTTTTTCATTTTCAGACACACACGTGAATCTCCATCTGCAAGCTCACCAACAATCGAATCAATCGCTGACTCTGCTGATTCCCATGTTCAATATCCGCAAAACATTATTACCATTACAGAACCGTATTCCGATTTTCGCCTCCACTCTTCCATTCTCACCTTAACCTCTATCTACCTTGCATCATATCTCCATCCCCAAACTCTTTTGCACACCACCATCCCTTACAATTCCAACAAACCTTCTGTCAACAACCATTTGCCAATACCCCTTCGTCCGCACGCATTAATCTCTCCCAGTCATCTTCATCTTCCCTTCAAATTTCCTTCTATCACTCTCGCAACTTCATCCATAATAATTCCGGCAACATCTTTCAACCCATCTAAATATCATTTCGCAGCAACAGACAGCATATCACCAAATTTCTCGTTACTTTCTGTATCCTCCCTTCAAACATATACACACTCAATCTTTTTCCTTTTTTTATTAATTAATTTTGTTTCAATTTAGGTTTTTTCTAATAATAGTATAAGTTTAAGAAATTAATGTTTACTGTTTTTTGTGATTATATTTTGTTTTTTTTTGTGTGTGAATAAGAGACATGTGACAATATGGATTTTGAGTGGGCTTTAAACATTATTTTTCTTTGGCCCATTCTTAATTTACTAATCTTACCACTCATATGCTTATTTGTACCTCCTTTTTTCTATTTTGGTTTAGTAATAATGTAAATAATAGTTGAGATTGAATTCTTTATTACATTGCGATTTCAAAGTTAATTTCAATTTAGCTCTTGAACACGTATGGATACATAAACTTTATTGACCGACCTTAAAATATGTGCGACTTCTATATAAGTCCACTTACGATTGCTTAACATAGCGCTAAATTTTGTCCCGATTTGAGAAATGACCATTCGTGGCTCAAACTCATGTTTGTAAGTCCAAGTATGTTAATTTGAATCATTTGATCCAATAACCTTGAGATTCATTGTTAGGAGACTTTGGTCTTATCAATCCTCTAATAAATTTTCATAAGCTTTGGTCAAAGTGAATCACTTAAATATCATTGATCATTTATTATTGCCTTGAGAATTTTAAATGAATGATATACTTGACAAAAAGAAAATGAAACTTGTTGTTGAGAGGCTTTGATTTTATCAATCTTCTAATGAGTTTCAAGATGGTCATTCAACTAACCTCTAATTTCTAACAATTGACTTTATTTTGTGCCTTTACTTTATGCTCTTTACTTTAAGCACATTTATTTTGGCATTTACATTTCATGTTATTTTCATTTTTGCTCACTTGAGCATTTATTTCTATGTCATTTTCTTTATTTTGCTCATTTGAGCTTTCATTTTCTTTTTGAAGATACCTAATAACCAACTTGAACAATAAAAAACTTTAAGGTTGCTTGGACTATTTGGTTACTATCCTTGGCATTTTGGAGTTATGGACTTCTTGGACCTAGGATTAGAGATATTGATCAATCTTGAAACCTTGTGAACTCAACTGTTATTTTGTCTAGAGTTCTTGGGGTTTACCCTAAGACATTGCGTTGTTTGTTTTCTTTGGGTGCAGGTTCTTGTGATTACATGCTTTGTTTGTGATCGGGAATTCATCTGTATACAGTCGTTACTCTGCCCAATTTTTGTGAAGACCTAATACATTTGATGTTTGATATTCTTAAGAGGTTTATTACCTTTGCTTGTTTGGTTTCAATTCAAAGGATGGGAATTCTAAATTGACTCGTTGTGTCAAGTGTTGGCTTCTTGTTGGTTAGACGGTTCTTTTCCCTAACTTTTACCTTATGCTTTAGGATAGCCTCTCTTCATCTTCTCCCATTCTTTAATTTCAAAACCTTCTCATCTTTTTTTAAAATCTTCTTTGTTTATAAACTCGAATCGCTTTCATAATAAACCTTGACTTTGTCGAGTGCTTTTTTCTTTTAAAACTTATTTTCTTTAAACAAACTTCAATTCACTTAATCATACTTTGACATCTTTCAAAATTAACAAAAAATACTTCAACTCATTCAAACCCTTTGTGCGCTCGAGCACCTTTTATACTTTAAAACTTTTTCCAATATTAGACATGATTCATTTATAGTCGAGCAACATTATCCTATCCTCATGGTTATAAAGGTGTTGACTTTTCCACTTGAGTAATAGAGGCGTTCTCAAACCCCCACTCATGCTGACGTATGGTCCATCTTTCTCACACCTTGTGGGCGTTAGTTGAGATTTCTCTCCTTAAAATGCCGACTTGTATCTTCTTTTAAAATCAATCTACAGACAAGTATTTTCTAGCCAAACTACGGTGCTCTAACTTTCCTATTGCACGAGGGAGTACATAGGCACTAAGTCTTACGACCCAAGGCGAGCAAAAGTAAAAAAAAACATTTTCTTTTGTTTGCAAATACTCATTCATTCTTTTCCTTTAGCAAGTAAGCCTTTAGATAACACACCTTTTGAAAGAAAACAAACAAAGTGGATCCTACGGAGTACCGTAGACGTTTAGGGTTCTAATACATTCCCTTTGCATAACCGACCCTCGTACCTCGATCTCTGATCTTTTATTACATTGTGGGTTTTGTTTGCTTTTTTCCCATTTCCCTTTGGAAATAATAAAGTGCGGTGGCGACTTCATTGAGTGAGTTAAGTCAATTGATGGCTTAATCTCAAATCTTTACCGCTACATCTTCTTTGTTCGTATTATTTTTCACACGGTGCGACAGATTGGCGACTTCACTGGGGAATTTTTCCTGAGTGGGTCAATCCTAGCTTTGTCTGTTTCATTTCTATGAGTGTTTATATATTGTTTTACTTTCTGTTTATTAATTCCCATTATTCTATATTTATTGGCTTCTTGGACCCACTATTCTTCTAAGGGGATAGTTTACAAACCCCCTTATACAAAGAAATGTTGGTTGTCCTACAACCATGATAAATACAAGACGAAATATGTCAATGTTTCCGTATTCTCCATTGTTGAGATTGAAGTGGCCAAGCTCATTTCCCAATTTATAGATTGAAGCACCATCACTTATCTCTACTAAAAGATATATGAGCTAAATATGGTTTAACAGGATAACCATTAACCTCTTGTGATTTTAACAAATTGATCAACTAACCTATGGTTTTATAACGGGCTAACCATGAACCAAATGGTGAGTTCATCAATATTGTTGATTTTGAACCTTTGAATAAAGAAGACTTTACAATAGTCTTAAGGGAAGCTCAACAACATTGATAATCTCCAACCTATATAGATTATGGGAACCTAATCACACAAATTCCCAACCAAAGTTTTAACGGGTTTAGCTTAGAACCATATAATTTTTTCCTAAACATGGATTATGTTCATCAAGGTAAAACAATAATAAACTTGAAGAACTTTATACATTTCTACCCAACCAGAAGTACATAAAATCTTTCTCACAAAAGCATTTGGCTATAAGAACTTGTGAGAGAAAGTGACCAAAAAAACTTAGAGAGAGAGAGTGTGTGTGTGTGTGTGTCAATACATATTTCATCTTCTGGATGATTTGAACCAAGGAATGAGACCTCTATTTATAGACTTCAAATCCTCCAAAAGAGGAAACTTAATAAATTCATTTTTGACAGTTACTAATTAATTGGAGCAATCGATTACATCATTAAATTGTAAAAGATCTATTTTCAAAAACAGGTGAGAATAAACATGTAAGTGTTGCTAATCATTTGGGTACATTCAAGTTGCCTTGTTTCTCAAGAATGTGCCAATCTAGTCAATTGACACTTTGTGCTAATCGCTTAGATCCATTTAAAAAATGTTTTCTGGCTCTTTGGATGTTCCCAACGCTTTCTGGGAAACTTCTACATATTTATTCAAGACATTTTATTTTCCAAAAATATTTTATAAAAAGGTTTTAAGTGTGTGTGTGTGTGTGTGTATGCGCGCACACACTTATATCCAACTACTTCAAAGAGGAAAGTATTTTTCTTACATTGATTCACTCAGTTGCTAAATTGGGGTAACTTCCCTAAGCTTGTGTCTGATGTTTTCATTGTGTTTGACTTTCTGCTCTAATATGTCTTTTGAAGCTTTGTTTGTTTTCCCTTCACTGTTATTAATCTTTATATATTTGCTTCAATTCTTTTAAGGCATTTAATACAATCTATTTATTTTCATTTCTTCTGAACAACTATTATTGATATTTGAAGCTTTATCTAAGATCTCTGTCAATCCTTATCAAATCCATGGCTTGCATTAACCGTTTAAGTGCATTACTTGACTTTCTCAATTGTTGTATCTTTGTTATGTTGAGTATCATCTAATTTGCTCTTATATTCATCATGTTGTATCTCTTGCTATGTTGATTTTTCTTTTATTGATCTTCTTAGTCGACTTTATAAAAGGTTGCATCTTTTATTATGCTGAGTGTACTTTCATTGCTTTTCTATATTAGTCATTATATTGCATCTCTATCATGCTGATCTATTTGTTTTCTATTTTTTTTGTTCTTTTATTATTTGAGGAAAAAATTTATTGCATCTTCAATATGCTGAGTGTCTGATATATACTTTCAGATTTGTTATCATCAAAATTAAGGTTACTTAATACTTGCAAAACAAGGCTCCACAAATTTTGTACCACAACGGCTATAGGGTATTATTGTCTGTTTTGAGTGTGAGAATCCTCACAACTTTGTCTTTTAAAGAATGTGCCTATTTGAGGTATATGAGTGTTCTATATTACATACTCTTTCCTAAATAATGTGAGACTATTTTAGTTAATTTGAAATAGTTTCTCCCCAATCGAGTCTAAGGGGCACGATGTGAACTTCAAGTTCTCACTAACGACATTGATGTTCTGATCGACGTTAAATTTATGCCACTGTAGCTACGAGGCATTATGTGATTTAGGTGTCAGAACCTCACAATTTTGTCCTTTAAAAATGTGTCTCGTTGGGTTGAGGCATATGAGTGTTGTATATAAATTACGCTTAGTCTCAATGTGGGACTATTTTGGCCACGGAATAGTTGTCTCCCATTTGAGGTTAAAGGGCACGGTGTGAACTTCGTGTTCTCATATACAGAACCAATGTTCTGGCCAACCTCAAGCTTGATCCACTGCTGATACGAGATATTGTCTGCTTTTGGTGTGAGAATTCTCACGACTTTGTCCTTTAAAAAAGGTGACCCGTTGGATTGATATGTATGAGTGTTGTAAATAAATTACCCTTAGTCTTGATTCTTATGCAATGTAGGACTA